TTCTCCCCTGGGAACTGGGATTGTTCCACATCAAGGAAGCGTTTTCCTGGTATTTAATATCCAGCCTCTTGAAATGAGCTTGTCTTCCTCCAGGTCTCTTCCTTGTCTTCATGTTTTCCAACAGGCATTGTATTGTAAAAAAAAAATAAAAATAAAAAAATAAATAAATAAAAAGTAGTAGCAATGAATACTTTTACGAAAGACCAATATACTTTAAACTTTAATAGGCTAGTTCATAAAACGTAATATTTAAATAATTGACATTTAAATATAAACATTTAAATAAAAAATATAGTTTAAATTTATATTAGTTGAAGTGACTTGAAATACATCTATACATGTAATTTCATATTGTCTTTGTAACACACTGAAAAAATTTGGTGTAGGATTTATTTTGGCAATTTTCACTCAGAAATTGCTAGTAAATTTCGAAAAATAATTACAATGAAATAAGTAAAACATTCATGTTTTCCAACAGGCATTGTATTGTAAAAAAAAATTAAAAAAAATAAATAAATAAATAAAAAGTAGTAGCAATGAATACTTTTACGAAAGACCAATATACTTTAAAAGAATGTAGGCTAGTTCATAAAACGTAATATTTAAATAATTGACATTTAAATATAAACATTTAAATAAAAAATATAGTTTAAATTTATATTAGTTGAAGTGACTTGAAATACATCTATACATGTAATTTCATATTGTCTTTGTAACACACTGAAAAAATTTGGTGTAGGATTTATTTTGGCAATTTTCACTCAGAAATTGCTAGTAAATTTCGAAAAATAATTACAATGAAATAAGTAAAACATTAAGTTAAACGGGGTTTTTTTTTAAAGTAGAAAATAAAAATAAATAAAAAATAGCACAAATTACATTTATGATAAACTAAAATTTTATAAGCACTTTAATAAGTCAACCGTTTAAAATAAGTTTTCTTTAAAGCACAGCAAAATATTAAAACATGATTCATATTATATTATATTACATTTTTTTATATTATATTTTTTAAAATATACTATGAGATGTGAATGCAATTAAGCACATTTCTTGCAGATCATGCTGTGAGAATCACAGATGTTGGCAATGTGGAATCACTTAACATATGGATTTCATTATTATTAAATTGCCAGAATGATTCTCAGCAATGTTATAAGGTTATAAGGTCCTGCTTTGCCCAATTCATGCATCTTATGATTTACTTCTTCCTTGTTTCACTTTTTACATTTCCTTCTGTAAGGAATGATTTCTTTCTCTTTTTCTATTATAGATAGTGAAATGTTTGCTAAATGAATGCTGTGATAGTCTGCAAGCAAACAGTGTGTCAATCAAGCGAGTGGAACCCTACACCAGTGACGTTCTTTCTCACCGTGTCGGTTTACATTCTCAGCATTGACATGGTTACTGCCAGCTTGTGTTTACTATGGTAAATAAACACTTAATGGAAAGATACAAACAGCAGCAGAAGTATATGCATTGTACTCAGTAGAAGTACTGACACTACTAAAGTCCCTGTGCTGTATTTTACATTAATTGCATTATATTGCCAACTAGGGGTTTGCGATATATATAGTCTGCGATAATATCGTAATTGTTGTTTTAACGATGTGCGATTTGACATTATCGAGTATTTTGCAAAAATCTAAATGCCACTTCAGATGCAGCTTCTGTGTTGATTTCATTTGCTTGGTAACAGCCCAAATGTCTTATTATTCTAATTCCCTGATTAAATGTAAGAATTTGACTCAAAAGATAATGGACACTTCTAGAAAAAAATGGCTTTATAAAGGTAAAAATGGCCATAAAATGTAAAAATCGGTTTAAACGTATTGGAAAAGATTCATTTCTATCAGTATGAACTGACCACCACACAGAATATGAAGAATATTAAAAACATTATGAGTCAGCTGTCTTCGGCAGTCCTTAAGGTACCAGCACAATAACACACTCAGCAAAATATCGTCTAATTATCGTCATCGATAAAATCCCAGAAAATATCGAGATATTCTTTTTTGTCAATATCGCCCACCCCTATTGCCAACATATAGTTTTATATGCTTATTTATTTAAAACTATTTAAACATTAAAAATATAAAAATATATTGTCCCCTTAAATAGCTTCAGTGTATTTTGTAAGGGTAGCTTCACTGGTTGAAGTCAACAATCAAAATTGTCCGTCTTGTGTCAAAATAGCTCTTCCAACACTGAGTAAACAACAAACAAACCTAAATATAGACACAGTCTAATACTTATGAGACAATCATGTATTTAATGGCGAAAAGAGCTATCGTTATGCTATCTACAGTGGTTATGAATAGTCAAATCTCTTGTGCATAGGAGTAGATAATAGCCATTTTGTAGGTATTTGTCCAGTATGGTGGTTGGCAACTGTTACTTAGGTATGACATCAAGGGCCTTATTTTGAACAGGCATATGTTTCATCTCAGAGAATAATTGGTTTTCCTCTGTTTTTCTTAGCAGAAACCACAGTAGAATGATGCACATGGCCCATAATCATGTTTGTGTATCGGTGACCTTGTCTTTTAACAGCCAATGGTCCAAAACAGGAACATGAGACACTTCCAAACAAGCAACAAAACACTTCATTTACCACTGCAGTTTCTTTAACTCCGATTAAAAAGCTATTAGCAAATGCAAAGTCATTCTTATTGGGTTTCAAAAGACAGTTCCACCCAATGATGTGTATTTTCCAAGTTCAAAAAAACAATTGTGTAATATGTCAGCAAGTTGAAATGTTTTTCAAAACCCATCTCTATCTATCTATCTATCTGTCTATCTATCTATCTATTAGTGCTGGGCGGTATACCGGTTCATACCGAATACCGGTTTGTCTATGCTACTATTGGCATATTATATGCATATATGCATTGCATATTTTTGCACCGTTGAAGCTGAAGAGCTTGATTTTTTGTGGCACTAGCATTACCAAATGACAAAAATAATGTTTCCAAAACACATTTTTTGTCTGCCGTTGATCTGACTAACAGATAGTCCCATCCTAACGTCAATGCTGCTTTTCCCTGCTCAGTATATCATAGCTCTGGATGCTCATTTTGTTCATAAGCACAAAGCATGTTCATATTTTTGTTCATTTGTAAATGAAGCCCAATGCAGCTTTATGAGCAGAAACTCCCTTTTCATCACATTGTCTGATGAGGTTTGTATTCGCTGTCCCTCTTTGGATGCTGTAATTGTTGCATAACATTCTTCACCCCTGGTGACAGAGGGATTGTGGTGGTCACCGGCCACAGCACGTGGTTGGCACGTATCTTGAAACATGCAGGACACACTACAAAACATGCTGTTAGCAGCTGAAAGCAAACGGTGGTCAGTTCATTTGAAGGAACAGAGAGACAGAGGGAGTAAAAGTGAGGGAAAATGGAAAGTGTCTGGCTATTAAAATCCCAGCCTGTATTTGTCAGCAACATCAGGCTGGTGGGGATTTGAAGAAAGATGGCGGTGTTGAACATTCAGAGCGAGAACAGGAAGTGACACGTGGTCGTATGGCACATGTCAGCGCCAAACTTGCTGACAGGAGTTACAAGACCATCTCACATGGCTTGAGTTCTTTAATAAGGTCAATAAGGTTTTTTTGAATGCTTTCTAATATTTTTATTTAGCAATGATGCATTAAATTGATCAAAAGTAACAGTAAAGAATTTAGTGTGACAAATATTTTGTAACAATGAAAATAAAAAAATGCTGTTCTTTTGAGCTTTCTAATCTATTCATCAAAGAATTTTAAGAAAATTGTACGAAAAATATGAAGCAGCACAACTGTTTTCAACACTGATAATAATCAGAAATGTTTCTTGAGCAGCAAATCAGCATATTAGAATGATTTCTGAAGATCATGTGACACTGAAGACTGGAGTAATGATGCTGAAAATTCAGCTGCGCATCACAGCAATAAATTACATTTTAAAATATATTCAAATAGAAAACATTTATAATAATTCTAAATGTTTCATAATATTGCTGTATTTTTGCACAAGAAACTTTTTGAATTAATTATTAAAATATTATGGCAACGTTTCTTTTGAATGTTCTCTGAACGTTCTGAAAGTAGCAACATTATAAAACACTGGAAGAACATCTAAAATGTTGCAGGAAAAAAACATTCCATGACCGATGTATGAATAATGTTATTGTGCTAATGTTTTAAGAACATCAAAGACCAGATGAACAAATGTTACATTAACATTACTGGAAGAATGTTTGTTCATAACTTTGAGAGAACCATGCCAGAATATTACGTTAGCCAAAATTAGTTTGTTGTATTGTTTGGAACATAGAAGCAAATATTACCATCAAGTACTAATATCTTGATTTATTGTAGGCCTATATCAGCGAGCTCAGCTGAAACAACTTAAGTCAAACAAACCTCCCGTTTTTGTCTCAAGACCGTCTGTAGTGATTAACCAGCAGCATCATTACTGATTTGGGTGATCTTAAATGTTGTGTGATCCTGTTGTGGGATAGCTTTTATTAGTCAGCAAAAATGATATATTGTGAATTGCATTTGATGCGTGTGTCTAATTATTTGGTTGTAGCTAATCAATACTTCTGAAAGCTTAAAAAGAATGTGTCAGTCTAGTGATGGCTAGACTGTAGTTTCTTGTCTGAAGGTTTGGCTGTAGAACAGAGCTGTACTCTTGGACCGGGACTCTGGCTTTGTCTTGTATTATGGCTTGAATCCGGTCTAGAACTCCTGGAGCGACGTGCTGGCAGGACGCGAGCTGCAAAACACGGCACTCCCAAAAGTCAGTTTCCAATCTGTAACATGATGGATCCTAAAATGGATAATTCTAGGTGATTGTTTTATGTTTGTTGATGTTTTATTTACTTTATGCCATGTTTCATGCGCTCCCAGAGCCACGGAAATTGGACAGTACGCCGATAGAGCTGCAAGAACTGTAATTACTGTTCGTTGGGACTTTATTGCTTTTTAATGAAAGAGCTAAATTTAAGCAGGCATGATCTTGAAATGCGAAGGACGAGCCGTTTCTGTGTGGTGGTTTGTGGGTGGGCGGCCTGGACGAAAGAGGAGGAGGTGGGCGTTCGTTCATTCTTTGAACATTTCTCCCAAATACAGTGAGGTTTCTCTCAGAACACTGTGTCTCTTCTCACACTTTTCCGAATGTTCTTCACTTCACTGAGAACCTGCAATGTAGTCAATGAAGAAACATCTCATTCTGTACTACAGTATACCACAATTAGGCAAGACACTGCAGGCAAACACATTGTTTTTCATGCACTGGACAATTTTGAAATATTGGGCTTTATTTTGCTTGCATAACTTTCAGGCTAGTTGCAAGAAACATCCAAAATACATATTTTATTACACTTTATCTATTTGCATCTGTAGGTTTCGATTAAAATACCAATTTTAAAGTCTCAAAATGATTTTTTTTGCTCATGCAATGAGCCAGAAATCCCTAACAGCACTTACATACACCGGATTTTACAGTTTTATTACTACACTGAAACAGTTTGGTGTAGAAACAAATTTCACTCATAAATGTCACAATTACAAACAGCAAGTAACACATTGAAGTAAATATGACATTTTTAAGTTGAAAACTTAAAAAGTATTTTTTGTAAAACACTAAATCTAAACACTAAAACACTAAGGCCTGGTTTCACAGACAGGGCTTAGACTAAGCCAGGATTAGGCCATAGTTCAATTAGGACATTTAAGTAATTTTTCATAAACATGCCTTAGAAAACACATTACTGGTGTGCATCTTGAGCCAAAACAAAGGCACTGATATATTTTAAGATCAGTCAGAGCAAGTTTCTTTCAGTTGACACAGTTCAGAAACCGGGGGGTAAATCTGTTTTATTAACAACGTAACAAAAAAATTACAGTATATCTATATTCTGAAGGTTTTTACAGAGGGGTTTGTTCATATATCATTTTGACTGATTAAAAAAACTTTGTAATTTATTTTCTTTTTTTCTTTTTCTTTTTTTTTTTCTGTCAGTTTGACTATTTTCTGATTTATTACATGATAAAAAGGAATATCCAAATAAAACATCCAAAAATATGTAATGAAAATGAAAAATTAATATTGGATCTGGCTTTATCCAATGTTCAAATTTCTGTTTTGGAAATGTATGCAGATTAGTGCATATTTAACTAGACAGACAATACCTTTTTTCTGAATATTTAAACATAGCATTTCAGAAAACCTGCTATACAAAACAAATGTCTTAATGTATTGTGATTAATCAACTGGGGAATATATGGTGATATCTATTAGTGAAAACTTTTACCCTATTCACCTGCCTTAAACTACACTTTACTATCCTGTGTTTTACCCACTGTATTATCCTAATATTTATACAGCAGTTTTTTTGGCTGGTGTCGTGTGTGTCTGTAGCTGCTGGAGTTATGGGGGACTTTAGCGGCGCAGTGTCGGTGGGAGGACGGGTGTGTGTGTCCGCTCTGTCCAGCCGGACAGGAGCCCACCACGGTGAGAGATAACACCACCACAACACACTCCACAAAACATGTGCCTGGTCCAGTATGTCCTACATTATGATCTCTGTCCAGAGAATTCACTCCACTTTAGGTATATACCAGAAAAACACAACAGATTCTGTAAAAATGTATCATATGATTGCATTTATGCACATTCAAGATTTCGATGGGTTTTTTTTATCATCTAAACAAGCCAAACCTAAAAAGTTTTGTGAGTATATCTCATGAAACATTTCCAGGGAGCATTTCACTAAAAAAATAAAATTAAAATAAAAAACACTTATATTTTATATAAAGAGAATTAAAACCATTTTTTTTGCATTGTGACATTATTTCCATGACATTTTCACAATGTCATTACAATAATGTATCTGTACATTTTATGTTTTATTTTTTAATATTTATTTTTAAACCATTGTTCTTAAGAGTAAAGCTTCTTAGATTGATACAGTTATTTTTTGTCATTTGTATTCTTATTTTTAGTAATGTATTTATAAAACACATTTCAGTGCAGAAATTGATACCATGCTATGAGAGATGTAGCAGTTTGTTCTTTGTGTGTCATCTTAGTGGTGTGTATTTGTTTCTTTAAGGCTTGCGGGGAAGTTGAGGGTCCTGGTGAGACCGGATTGTGCCGGACTTGCCCAGCAGGCACCTTCTCTGATACCCATGACACTGAGCCGTGCCGCCCACATCTCTCCTGCAGGGCACTGAACCGCTGGATCTCGACCGCACCGACCTCGCATTCTGACACCGTGTGTGGAGGATGTCTTCCTGGGTAAAGAACAAAAAATATTTAGTCATTGTCTTCATCATTGCATCACTTTGGTATCAGAGCAGATGTGTTTTCCTAGTCTCACAAACTTTCCAAGACTGAATGAAATGGAAAGCGTAGAGGGGGCGTATTTATGAACTGACATGTTTTTCAGGTTTCACCCTGCTGCTACATGGAAGTCCTCCACCCTCCATGCCTGCGTCAGGAGTAAGTGTTTAGCATTTTATACATCAGTGTTGAGTGAACGTTACACAGCAAACCTGGAAATTGAGGGCCGCACCTATCTGTTCAGTTTACTCTTCATAAACAATCAAGTACATAGAAGAAAAAAATCAATAAATATTTGAATTTAATAGTATTAACATAAGAATAAACAATTCTTCTGCAAGATAACAAGGTATAAACATATTCCAATATATTGGCTTTTTCACAATAACTTCAAATGCGACTCATCCAACAGGCAGAATTTAAACTTTTGTTGTTATTTTTTAAATATTCACTATTATTCTTAATGGTAAATCTTATTAGATTCTCATTACTGTAATGAAGTTATTCTTATTTTTAAACAGCATAAATTATATAAAACCTTACATTTAGAAATATATATATATATATATATATATATATTATATATAGGAAGAGTTCATTTGCAAAAACCGATAACTCCATTTAAAAAAAAAATTCAGAAATCATGTTTTTTTATTGTGCATTCCAAGTAATATCAATCAAACTGTAGTTGGGTTGTTTTGATTAAGTAATAATAACTTAAACAAATACAGGTAATTTGCAAAATTAAAGTTCATTGAAAGTATGTTTTTTTACATATTAAAAGTTTGTTTTATAGCAAAAGCAGATAACTCCAATGTTCAAAAACAGCAAGGGCACTTGTCAGCTTCTGCAGTAAAACGTGAACTCGCGATGCCTTGAAAGTGGACAAGTGAATGCGCTATATGTGGAGAATAATGCACGGCAATCATTCAGCTCATTTTTTTTTAAAGTGGCGTTTATCAGTTTTTGCAAAGGAACTCCACACATATATATATAATGGAACAGCCATTTTAAAAAGTGAATTTTCACTATTATTTACAACAGGATCTGCATTTTCATGGGTTTAAATAAAAGATTTTCGTTATTAGAGACAATAAAAATAACTTTGCACATCAAAAACAGCTCCTTTATTGGTAAAAAAAAAATGAACTGAATGTAACATTTTTGACAAGCCAAACATATGAATCTCTGAGTAACATGGTTTTTATTTATGCCATAAAATGAATATCATTCTGTAAAATTATTATAATTATCTACGCAAAAAGCATTTCGAATGTCTCCAGCACTTTTTATAATTTTCCAAAAATCAAACATCACCCATTATGCATGTTATCACATCCGTCAAAAACTTAAGCTGGCTGTCGATTGGAATATTAGCACACATAACACAACACAAAATATCGACTTAACAATCAATCGCTTCACTGAATATTTGATGGCTAAGAAATAAATAATTATTACCTTACCATCCATCTGTTTTCAAATTCATGTCATTTGAATATAACAACACCGATGTCTGTCAAAAAATAACATGCACAATACACTCTCATATGCTGATACATGAATTCAAGAACTTGACAGGTGATTGTTTCAAATTGTCTTGAAACAATCAGATTGTTTCACTGTCTTCTCAATTGTTTAAAAGATTAAGGCAATTATCAAAGTTTGATCAAATGTTGTATAATGATTCATGTTTACATGTTTTGTTACATTTAATTACCCCTTTTGAGCCATTTAGAACTGTAATCATTTGTTGTATAAGTAATTATGTCTTGTGTATATCTACAGAGCCATACAGCCGGCGGAGACGTAACGTTAGTAAGAGCGCCCCCAACAGGTCTGGAGTGGGAGGTGCAAACGCCACCAGCGTTCAGGGTCCAGAGGAGAAGAGCACGGAGTACGCCGTGTTTGCACTGGTGCCCATCTTCTGTGTGATGGGCCTGCTGGGAATTCTCATCTGCAACCTGCTCAAGAAGAAGGGCTACCGCTGCAATGCGGAGAAAGACGGGGTGGATGCAGAAGCCGCCACTCCACAGAAAGAAGGTACGGTGCACAATCACAGAAATTAATACTTGTATTCAGCAAGGATTCAATAAACTGATCAAAAGTAGACGTTTATAATGTTACCTTAGATTTCTATTTCAAATAATGTTCCTTTGATCTTTCCTTAAATCCTGAAAATAAAAATATTTCACAGTTTTCACAAAAATATAAAGCAACACAACGGTTTTCAACATTGATAATAATGAGAAATGTGTCTTGGCCATAAATAGGAAAAATAATACTTCTCTCTAAAGAAATTTGAAGTAAACATATGATAATCCATGTTTTTCTCCAGTGTATAGCAGTGTACAGGAGTTTTTCTTTTTCTTTTTTCTTTCCCCACATTGAATGTATAAAAGGCTCATATTTCATATTAAAGACATGGACTCCATTTTTGGTTTTACATACCTCCTGATAAAAAATAAGAAATTTCTTTCAAAGATTAGTATCATATGATGTACAGCTACAGGCCTGTATGGTAACAAGTAACCCTGTTTTCTGTAAAACAATAGTTCTCTGTAAAATAAAATTAGTATTGTTATTATCTTATCGTCTTATCCATTATTATATTGTTTTTTAAAAATCGCAATTTTAACCAGAAAAATCGCAATTAGATTTTTTTCCCCAAATCGTGCAGCCCTAGTTAAATCTCACTCCACCTAAGTTTGATTTCCAATATTAACCCAGTGGCCCAATTGTTAGACTAAAACCCCTTCTCCTAAGAGTGAAACTAAATAAATTAACTGAACAAAATAAGAACAGAATGTTTTCTTCTCCTTTGTGTGCATGTGTATCAGTGGGTGGAGCCGCAGCTGTTGTGATGAGCTCAGTGTTTCATCTACAGTAGCACTAGCATATGATGGTTCAGGTTCTGCCTGTAAAGCGGGTACATCTCCAGGAACAGAGTAAATGACACCTTAATTACAGCATGTTTTGCAGCTGAATAAGCAGAGCTGGAGTTGGGTTTTGTTCAGGATGTCAGGCAGCATAATTGTTTGTGTTAAATAGAAAAAGGAAGTTAATCATGTAAGCCACAAGAGGCTGTGCATGATGGTAAAAGGAGTAGTTCACCTAAAAATTTTAATTTTCTGAAAGTGTGCTCACCCTCAGGCCATCCAAGATGTAGATGAGTTTGTTTCTTCCTCAGATTTTGGAGAAATGTACCATTTTATCACTTGCTCACCAATGGATCTGAATGGGTGCCGTCAGAATGAGAGTCCAAACAGCTGATAAAACATCACAATAATCCACACCACTCCAGTCCATCAATTAACATCTTGTCAAGTGAAAAGGTGCATCTTTGTAAGAAACAAAGCCATCATTAAGCCGTTTTAAGTCCTCTATCCATAATAATGTTTTTCCAGTGAAAAAAAGTAATCTGTTCTGAATCAGGAGAGAAATATGCACAGATCAAGCACCGTTTACAAGCCAAAACATATCTATACAAAAATGTGAGTGGATTTTGATGTGGGAGGACAACAGAAGATGGACTTTTTCACTGGAGGAAGTGTTATTATGGATTATGGACTCATATTTTGGCCAGAAGCGACAGTTTAAATGTAATACGTCTTAATGGACTTGTTTCTTAAAAACACGCAGCTTCTGGCTTCACAAGATGATAATTGATGGACTGGAGTGGTGTGGATTACTTGTGGATTATTGTGATGTTTTAATCAGCATTTTGGACTCTCATTCTGACGGCACCCATTCACTGCAGAGGATCCACTGGTGAGCAAGTGATGGAATGCTACATTTCTCCAAATCTGATGAAGAAACATACTCTTGGATGTCCTGAGGGTGAGAATATTTTCAGCCAATTAAAATGTTGGGGTGAAGTGTTCCTTTAAAGCTATAAGTGAATGTGATTTTTATGTTTCTGATTTTTATGTTTCTTTGCGTGTGCAAAGCTTGTGCAGTGCTACAAAGTTGTCAGGGAGTTGCTATGTGATTGCTAAAGCGTTCTCTGTTTTCCTCATCTATCTTTGAGCAGCACAGCACTCCCACTGTATCTCCTTTCTTTAGATCAATAATTCAGTCGGTTCTGTGCTTGTAGATGTTCTCTGACTGCTATCACCCTACTGTTGACTAGTTCTAACATGGTCGGTGTGAGTTACATCAGATTCACATTGACCTAAACACACTTAAACTACTAAAAACTGCAAGACCGCCAGGCGAAACCTTATTTTAAGTGTTCCTACATACATAGAAGAAGAAAATAGCCTATTGGGTGCACTATTATGCACCGTTTATGTAAGAAGTCTTGGGAACAACGCGTATTGAAAACATCACAAGATAGCCATTAGGTGTTTAATAATGAACGTCTTGGCTCGAGTGGAGTCTGAAAGCTTGTGTTGTATAAGTCTGGGTCGGATCCAGGACAGCGTAGAGCAGGCATCCAGATGAAAGAGGATGATGAGTCTCTGGGGTGTAATGTGGTCGAAATCATTTAACGAAGTAACAACGTTTGCAGTCAGAATGCAGCGTTTCATTCGCTGTTGTTACGTCACTGTTCCCTGTCGATTTCTGATGGTGCATTACTAAATTAAATGTCTTTTCTTGGCACTTTTGTTGGAGCTGGAACGATTGCATAAGCACTTTGCTTTCAAGCACTCAAGAGCAATTCTACCTTGACCAGTATTTCATTGCTTCAGAGTCTAACAGTAATCTGATATATAGCCATTGCACATTTCAGCTGTGAGATGAATCCGCATAGATGTCCGAGCATTTTCGATTTTCAGCTGTATTTTGTAAGAGAGGTCTGGTGCAGTACGCAATATTAGATGATTCAGGTATTGCACAATGTTTGTACAGTATTTTTGCCATTGGCCACACCTGCTATTCTGAGATAAAACCGTAAAGGTGTCAAAGATGCATTTCCCAGCAGCCTCCTGTCACTGCAGAGAAAGTTCAAGCACAATAGGTGTACCAGTACAATAATGACAGAGCTAAAAAGAGCCTTTTTATGGCTCACAGCAAGTTTGAAATTAGATTGAAGCCATTGGATTAGATTGTTCTGCAATACATTGCATCAAGTTTAGCGGGTAATTTTATTGTAGATAGACAAACAGACATAGAATAACCTCACTATATCATCCAAAACTAGAAAGTACAAAAATGTTGCTTTGGTTATTTTATAGCAGCAAAATAATATTTTAAAAACAAAAACATGATTTAAATTAGTAGGCTATAAACTTGATGTAATGGTCAGAATTTGTACAGTATATAACATAACATTTATGGTAAAATGTACATGTACACTACCATTTTAAATGAAATAAATACTTTGATCAAAAGTGACATAAAATACATTTATGTTACAAAATATTTCTATTTCAAATAAATGCAGTTCTTTTGAACCACATATTAAGTATTCTGAAAAATAAAATGTATGACGGTTTTCACAAAAATATGAAGCACCACAACTGTTTTCAACATTAATAATTATAATACATGTTTCTTGAGCAGCAAATCAGCATATAAGAATTAGGGATACACTGAAATGAAAATTCTTGGCCGAAACCGAACAAAATGAAATACTGGGCCGAAGGCCGAATACCGAACAAGGTTTTGAGTTTTTTTTTCCCCCATGTATTTTGCCAATTTTTTTCACCACTGCACAAATTAAATAGCCAAAATGTGCTTTTTACTGTTTTGTCTTGCTTTTCAAAGAAACAAACTATTACAAAACAACAATTTAAAAGTATTTAACACTGAACATTTGTTAACATTCTAGCAGACATTATTATACCAACAAAGCACAATTGAACTTAAAATTAATAAGCTAGTAAAATAATATTTTTTTGGCCATCAGACCCCCTTCTTGAATCAGGCATGTATTTTTAACTGTACAATTAAAAGCAGCCTTGCTGAGCAGAAGAGCCTTCTTTTAAAACATTAGAAAATATTACAGATCCCAATTTGAACACTATGTGTTAATGTTATAATAAATGTATTAACAGAGCTGTTGAAATTATTATCATTATTATTGTCTTACTTTTTATTTTATTTTACAGAACAACAGTAAAATTACAATACTAACATTTATGATTGTTTATGGAGTTATTGCTTTTTCTCAACTTTTATTTTGGCGGAAACGCGCAGGAAGACAACAGCAGATTTATAAATGAGTCTCATTACGAATAAGTTGCAGGTATCACATTGTCACATGCCTTGTAAAAAAAAAATCATAAAAATGTGACTGAGCAACTGAGTACACTGTTACAGTGCAGATTTCCCTCGCGGTTTGGACTTTGAACCCTGGCTAACGAGCAGATAGCACCGCGAGTTCATGCAGCGCTGTCAGAATGCAATGCGTGCGTGTATTAGAAAACATGACATTCTGCAGTTTGTTTAATTGTTTAAGGCCATTTCGCGATTTCAATTATCATACAGTAACCAGCAACAATCACCCCTTCCTCTTCTCAACGAAGACATGTGATGCAGTGTATTTTCTAGCCAGTTTGTGATCAGGTTTAAGCAGCAGGTGTTTTTAGTGGATGGATGAAGTCGGTTCACACAGGTGTCCTAGAGAAAGAGAGAAACCACAAATCAACATTATCCTCCAACACCAAACAAACAGTCACAGGTTTTCAACACTAGATCATTCAAGACTTACAAACATCTTTTTGTCAAATGTTTTGCTTAAAAACACTCTTTCTTTACAATAAATAACACTTGCATTGGTATTTTGACATTTTAAGTGTCCAAACACTTCAGCAGGTGCATGACTATGATTCGAACAGAGGCTGCGTTTACACTGCAAGTCTTAATGCACAGATCCGATCTTTTGACCATATCTGATTTTTTGGCACGTCTGTTTACATTCACTTTAGACAGGACTGGTATCCGATATCTGTGTTTACATTAATTCCCACCCAAAAGGATTGTCTGCAGTGATCGCTTTACTATGCACATGGTAGACCCTCGGGTTTTAAATGTCTCGTGCAAATTTTTATGTTTATATGTGTGCAACAAATTCCGATCTGTGTCAGATGTGAGCGAAAGATCGGATTTTTTGTGCCAGTGTAAACGCAGCCAGAGTGTCTCTGGTTGATCAGAATTATAAAGCAGCGCTGATGTTCATTCTGGGTGAATATAGCGGCGTGCTGAGTGAGCTGTTCTCTACAGTACGTCCCCAGCTGCCTCACTCTGGGATATACAGGTGCATCTCAATAAATTAGAATGTCGTGGAAAAGTTCATTTATTTCAGTAATTCAACT